GGAGGAAATCAAATGCTTTTTTTCCTTTCCAATGTAACTGTTCTAATCACTGGGTTTGGTATAAGAAGTCATATTCTTGAATCTACCTTTGAATGTCGGAGTTGTTTGGTCTTTTTCCCAAACAAAAATTCTCAGCACTTTAGACAATATTTAGTGAGCCTGAGTGTATGACACTGAGTTTAAAAGTAATCTTCAAAAGTAAAGAATCAAAAGTACAGTTGGGAAAAAGTATACTTAAGCTTAAAGGGAATAACTGGGGAAAAAAAAAATCCATTTCTCGTTTCTCTGCCTGAACCTTCAGAAGCTTTGATATTTGGCAGTTAACCTGAGTTAACATGAGAGTTAACCTGAAAACATGCTTTTAAAGCAAAGATTTTCTTTTTGTGAAAGGCAGAACCAGAATATTTTGCTTGTTTCCTTTTCTTAGTCACTATTCTTCATCCTTTCAGTACCTGTCCTCAGGCTGACTTTACATGCTGTTTAATATTTGTGAAATACTAATGCTCATCTATTTTTACTTTGCTTTAGTAACAAGTACCTGAGTTGTAGGAGACTGTCAGAGTAATGACCTGTTGAATACTTCCTTGAAAACCAAAGCATATAATAGTTCTCTTGCTCAGTTACTTTGCCTGTGATCGCATGCAGGAACAGAAAAAGAAACTATTTCAGTGCTCAAATGTCTTTCAGAATCACAGTCCAAAGTGCCACAGCAGAACCGTGACTAAGGCTCTTAAAAACAATGCAGGGAGCCCAGTATAGAAAACAAACATTTGTTTATCAGATCAGAAGGCTAGAGAAGGTGAAATTTGCCTTTTTGAATACTTGTGGTGTTTTGGATGATAAAGTATTGCTTTTACTGCTGTTTGGAAAAGTTAAATCATCTTATTTGCCAAATAAGGTGGCACAGGGATTTTGAAGCTTCCTGACTAGGAGGAGCTGCTTCTGTGGAACTGAAGGTTCATTTATATATTTAGCTGCAAAAGGAAGAGAGGATGAGCAACTGACATTAAGCTCCATGCCCGTGACCTTGCCAATATACTGCACACCTACTCTACCCATGTTAATTCAGACCTACCAAATGCTGTTGCAGTAATACTATTCATTTTATTGACATTCCAGGCCAAGCTGGATGGGGCCCTGAGCAAGACAGTGTCTCACCACCTTCACAGGGAAAACTTTTTTCCTAATATCTAGCCTAAATCTCCCCTCCTTCAATTTGAACCCGACCCGTTTGTCCTGTAACTGCAGTTCCTAACCAAGAGTCCCTCTGCAGCTTCCCTGGAGCCCCTTTTGCTCCTGGCAGGTTGCTCTGAGGTCTCCACACAACTTTCTCTTCTCCAGGCTCAACAGCCCCAGCTCCCTCATCCTGTCCTCATAGGGGAGATGCTCCAGTCCTCCTAGCAACTTTGTGGCCTCCTCTGGACTTGCTCCAACAGTTCCATGTCCTTCTTATGTTGAGGACACCAGAACTGTGTGCAGTATTCCAGCCTCCCCTGTCACCCCTTCAGATACTGAAGGGCTGCTGTGAGGTCTAACTAGATGATCTTTAAGGTCCTTTCCAAGCCAAACCATTCTATGATTCTATGATTTCACCCTTTTCACAATGAAAATACTGTAGACAAACACTGTGTTTCTGGGTGGTCCCACTCTTTCTGACCTTTCTGTGTCTCTCTGCAGTCCTTCTGACTTTATTGTTGATGGGACAAAGAAGTGGACGTCAAGACAGAAGTAAGAAACTAGAGCTGGCACTAAGTGAGACCATGGAGGCAGGAGCTGGAGTACAAAATAATCAAGAGGAAGCTGAGGAGCTGAAGGCCAAAGAGACGAGGCTGACATCAGTTTTTGGAATGGCAGACTTAAAAAACGGTACTGATGTTTTGGCTGTTCTTCACTCTCATATTTTCCATTTCTAATGCCTGCTATTCCATTCCCTGTCCTTAGGCTTCACTTCCTCCTATTCTTTACCTCTTCACTGAGGAATATACGGATGACTCTCATTTTGCCCTGCCAAGTAACCATTTTGGGTTTTTGGGAGTGGATTACATGACAGTCTCAGAGATTTTTCCCCATTTTAAGTCCTCAAATTTGCCATTGCAGGCAAAAAGATCTAGTTGATGGCTCTGTCTCTTTCCAAACACAGCCAGTATTGCTTCTGGATTTGCTAAAACATGGGATAGGCCCTAGTTACGCTGCTGCATCACCAGACTGGCCTCTCAACAGCTGTCAGCAGTATTCCAGGTGTATGGTGTTCCATGCCAGCTACAGCTCACCCTGACCAGTGACTGTGCAGCTCAGAGCTGTTCTGAGCTTCCATTCCATGTCCTCTCTGCCTTTGGCCATGACTTCAGAAGCAAAACTTCCAATTCCTGACCGCAGTTACTCACACTGCAGTGGGCACTTTTTTAGATGAGGGAACAGCTGTGAGTTGCTTCTTCTCTCAGGCTTGTTCCTTTCTTTGAAACCAAGACAAAGCCTGCCAGAGGCAGGCTGAAGGGGACACTTCAGGGCTGTGTGGTGGACAGCTAGCATGTGGTCCCACGTGGAGCTCTTCATTGTGAGGCTTGGCTGTGTAATAGGATGCATAACTGCCCTCACACAGGTTGTTTTATTATATACTTTATTTTATGTTTATTTGTGTTATGAGATGACTGAAAATAGAGGAACTGGGAGAAATCTGAGTATCATTATCCAGGCTTACTTGGATATTTCCTGTCAGTTGTCAAACAAAAACAAATGTTATCTGTTTGAGCAACAGAAGAATAGATTGAACACTTTTTCAGTCTGACCAAGATGCTGGGCCCATACATTGAATGGCTAAATACATGCAAGAGGAGTTTGCCACTTGCAAATAATTTTCACTTTCTTTTCTTGTACCCATTTACAGGCTTCACTTACACTTTCTTTATGCCTACAGGAGCTATTGGACTGTACAACCTTGGACAGACCTGCTGCCTGAACTCTCTGCTCCAAGTGTTCCTCATGAATATACACTTCACAGGGATACTTCGAAGGTACCACCTGTGGAACTACCTGAGATATTCCACTGTTGCTCTGTTGTCTCCTCTCCTTTTTTATAGGGGATGTACATTTGATGGCTTGGATCACTGAGGTGCTAGCAAGGTGCTTTCAGCTCCCTCAGCAAGGTCTCTGCCTTGTTATGTCTGTCTTATACAGACTAGGAACTGCAGAGGTGGAAGTTGGCAGTGTTCTGACTTGTTAATCATCTCAGATTCACGTGCCCTTTGCACACCAGTAAGTTGCAGTCCTGAACTGAGTCTTTATGACTTGTTTCTCTCTTTTCTGTAACAGACTATGATTTTATGCCAGGTATAATGATAGGCCATTATAACAAAGGATTCTGTACTGCATGTAAACATATTCACTATGAATTTTGTAACTTTAAGCTTGTAAACTCAAACATATTGTAATGTCTAGCCTCTGGTCACTGATTGCCCGGGCTAGCACCTGATAGAGAAGAATGTGTCATGGCAGGTCACAAATACATAGCATTACTTTGTTTCTCTTGACTCTTCTCCCTACTTGTTTGTGAGGAGAATTTGGACTTCTGCCTCCCTACCAATCACATTAATAACTGCTTTGATTTGTTTTTAGTGTCCTCACTTCACTGCAGCTTTAGTCATCTCAGTGGATCATTCCTATTCAGTCTTTTCTCCAAATTTCTTACATGCTCACTATTGTGCAGAGGAGGAAGAAGACAAGTTACAGACATGCAGAGACGAGAGGTGTCGTAAATGGGCAAAGCTAACTAGTGTAGACAGTAGGATACCATGGTTATTTGAAGAAAGACTTAGAGAAACCTGTGGACTGCATTAAACTTAGGGAAGATAAAGAGCTTTCCAGTTAGCATATAGCTGAAATACAAGCATTATGGTATACATGCCCATGAAATTTTCAGGGTGTGTTGAGAATGAAGGCATGAATGGGTGGGAGGCAAGAACAGCTCTGAAACTGGATGTAACTGATGTTGTTTCTGGAGCCCAGAAAGCATTTGAGGTCCTGCTCAGTATGTGCCCTGTTCAGAAAGAGGCCAGCTTAAAATTGTGGCCTTTTATTGTAGAACTCTCAGCCTGCACTGTGGGTTGAGCTAGTGCAGGTGACTGCTTCATCTTTTCCCTTCTTTAGCTGAAAATATACCCATTCTGGTTCCTCTTGAGTTGCTATCTGTGCTGTTCACCTCTGCTTCTACCGGTGTGATGTCTAATATGTCTCCATTGTGCCAGCTTATTACCATTTGTGTTGCATTACAGGATCACAGTGCCACTATATGCTGCTCAGCAGAAGAAGAGTGTCCCATACCAAATGCTCTTGCTGTTGGAGATCATGCAGCGTGGCAGGGACAAAGCTGTTCGTCCCGTGGACCTTGCTTGCTGCCTCTCAGCACACAGAGTGAAATGTAAGCAGTGCTGCCTCATGCCCCTCTCTGTCTGCAGGCCAGGGTGTTAATTACCCAGCACTAACAAGCAGTGCAGACTCTGACATCTCCTTCAGGGATTCAGAAATGTCAGGAGTTAGGTACATGATGATGTAGTGCTCTGTCTCCTGGTTGTGAGTGTGATGCTGTGTCTTACTTGAGAAGAGGGGGGAAAAGCCTCCTCACAGATATCCTGTCCAAAGGGTGGGAAGACTATCAGACTTCTGGAAGATTCAGTGATGGATACTGGCCAGAGGGAAAGGGCTGTGCAGGGCAGAGATGACAGCTTATAGCTTCATTCATCTTGCTTACTGGCATTATAATAGTGAAATAGCTGCTGTTACTTATTAGAAGGAAGGGATGGTATGGAAAATATAATGAGTTCACATAGAACCCCAAGGATAGGGGAAAAAGTATCCTTATATATTCTTATAAGGGCAGAGAGAAGAATTTGCTGGCTTAATCTCCCACCTGGTCAAAGTCCCAAAGGAGAGAGGTTGTTAAATGCATGGGGGATCAGTGACAGTGTGATGCTGAGTCTGTTTGTGTGTACAAATACACAGGGCATATCCAAACGCCCTCATTGGACAGCACTGAAAGGAGAGGTGATAGCCAGCCCAGACATTTATTAAGGAGGAACACGAGATAAGCTCAGTATTTCTGTTAGCATCCTTTTTTCCCTGACTCTGAATGGCTTTGCAGTTTGCCTTCTCTCTTCTAGTTAAAGAGAGATGCTCAAAGAGTTTGTAATGCCTGACAGTTGCCCACCTTGTCCTCCTGCTTTAAAATTCAGGTATGGTTCATAAACTCCTACGTAACAGCAAGCTCTGCTTCACCTGGATCACCGACAGGAGGAAAGGTGTATGTTCTGAGCTTCATTTAATCAGGGATGTCTGTAATCTTACTAGAACCCAGCTGAAGTCAGTGCCTGCAGACTTGCAGGGAAGCTGAAAGCACTTCCACCTCAGGTGGATTACTCTACAAAATTTGTTCCACCTGTGGTCAAGCATAGAGCTAGTCCAGACCAGTGACAGGACAAAGGGGAATGTCTTGAAACTGAAAGAGGGTAGGTTTAGATTTGATGTTACGAAGAAATTCTTCCCTGTGAGGCACTTGTACAGGTTGTCCAGAGCAGCTGTGGCTGCTCTGTCCCTGGGAGTGTTCAAGGCCAGGCTGGATGGGGCTCTGAGCAACCTGGGCTTGTGGAAGGTGTCCCTGCTAAGGTGGGGGGGTTTGGAACTAGATGATCTTTAAGGTCTCTTCCAACCCAAAGCATTCTATGAAATGCAATGCTCAACTCAATGAGACATCTGAGCCCTATTCTCTGGTAGGTATTGGGTATACTCTTGGCCTGCATCTGGTGACAAGGACATGACTTTTTTGCACTGGGTGGTACAAACCCTCCTATCTTTTCCCACTGCCTGCTCAGGTCACATAGAGAAATTGCAGATTGAGTCCAGTCTAAGCTCTGACCCTTTGCCATCTGTGGAAAATCTGTGCTTGGTGCTGTTCATGATAATGATGGAAATTTTGTTTTCTGTTTGTCCAGTGTCTGTGCAGCATGATGCTGCTCAGCTCTACCTGACTCTCTGGAACTTGATAAAGAGGCAGATGAAAAACCCAGTGCTGGTAAGTACAGTCACTGAAATGATCACCAGGTCCTTTGGCCCTTAGCATGGGTGGTTTCCTCTGCTCCCTGAAGGAGAATCCCATTTGCTGAAAATTGTCCTAAGTTAAACTCTTAAACTTATCCCTCCCCTGTTTGGATCTTTCCTATTGTGTCTCAAATGTGAGAGGAAATCTTGATTTCATAGGCATTTTGAATCAGTTAATTTTTGTTCATTCTCCTTTTAGGGCATGCCAGTATCTCTATTCTAATGGGATAGTTGATTGATAACTAAAAGATTGATCTTTTTGCAGCATCAAATTTAGTTATCTTGCATTTCTTTTTCCCCCAAATTTCTGTGAGGCCAAGAAGGCATTTATTGGTGTGCCTTGACACAGCTTCTCCACTCTTTGAAGTCAACCATGTGCATTTCATTATAATTAGTTACTCTTAGTACATTATGTATATGACAGTTCCTCCCAGGGGACTGGTAAGAGGAAAGTGACTCTTCCTTGACCCACTGTTGCAGTTTTATTCACACAGAAGACAAGCTCCTGTTGCAGTTTCAAACAGAACAGTAAGATTCTGCATCAAAGGAGACATTTTACTGTCTGATCTTGTTAGAGCCTGTGAGTTCCCCTCTGGTAGGGGATGAGGGGAAGGAGTTGTTCTCCTTTAAAAGGTGGGAAGTGCCCTGCCCACACAAGTCAATGTCAGATCTTGGTTTCAGCCTTAAAGCACTAACCTTGCTTGAAATAATGTGTCCACATGGACTTTCCCACTCGCAGGAAACACCTCAGCTGTCCTATTCATAAACCTTGTTTTGGCCTGGTTTTTTATCCCTCCAGGTTGAAGACCTGAGTGATTTGTACACTATCAGCATACAGGAGCATCTGGCCTGTCAGAAATGCTCTTTTGAAATAAAGAGCAACAGCAGCATGTTAACCCTTCCACTCCCAGTGTTGGATTCCAATTCTCACATGCTGAAGACCCTGGTAAGTTTAGTGGCAGCACTGTGTCCTTAGGAAGAAGATTCCCCTCTTTCACTATGGGAGCCTTCTCCTTCTCTCTGTTGTCTCCTGGGTCTTGTCTAGAATCTCTTCCAGAGTCTATGTAGAGTGTCTGAGACTTCGAGATGATCTGTTCTCATTCACTTCTTTGTTTGGAAGGGTTTTAAAGGTCTCAAAAAATTTGATTTGGGGGCTGGAAAATAAAGTCCATGAATCACCTTTTTGAAAAGAGGATTGACTAAATACTCTGTAACCGACTCAAAGGCTCATGCTAGGCAGTGATGTGTACCTGTGAGATCTTAGATACCAAGGAGAGGTGCCCTAGATAACTTGCAATCCCTGGCCAGACACTCTGTGTTTGCCCAGTGCAGTGTTCTTGCTCTGTTGAATCAATGCTGCTGTTGGATATCCAGATACCACAGTGGTGGTGGCTATGTAGATGCTGCCACAAAACCAGTGAATTTCTCAGGTGCTAGTGAACCATTGGACCTTATTGATTCTTTGACCACTTTATACTGTTTCAGAATAAAGGAACTTCTTTGAGAACCTCTAAGGCTTTGAAGGAGCTATAAATGTCACTTATGCATCAACATTTTCTTTGTGGAAAATGTGGTACTCAATTTTTGTTCAACTAATGCAATCACAGCAGCAGCTAGGAGAAATGAGGTACCTTTTTTTTCCCAGGTAGTCTTTTGTCCTTTGAATAAAATATGCCTTCTGTAGCTTTGCTGTTTGCTTGTACCCTCTGAAATAAAGTGGAAATAAGAGTCTAGCTTGAAGAAATTCAGTTGAAAGAAATACCCTCTGTCTTCTCAGGAGGACTGTCTGCAATGCTTTCTCCATCCAGAAGAGCTGACTGGTCAAGACATGTGTTTCTGTCAGCAGTGTGGAAAGAAAACACCTTTTCTGCAGGTAATTGGAGAATTATTTCCCCATGTGTCTCTCATACCCAGAAATCCCTTTAAGACTGGGAAGGGTGGGGAAAGGACCCAACCACATCAGTTTAAGAGATCAACAACTCAGGTTTGTCAGCACAGCAGTGTCAGGGAGGTATAAACCATATGCATCTTTCCTCCTCTTAGGGAGTTCTCTGCAGTGGATGTAGCTCTTGCCACAAAAGAATGCTCCCATGAGTTTTAATGTAGGTCACTGAGGGATGTAGCATTCCTGTGCCAGCAGAAAAGCTTTTGGTTTATTTGGTGTGACCACCGTGGGCCTTTACACTGCTGTGGAGCTCCAGAGGTAGACAAACATATGTTACTGGACCCATGTTTACACATTAAAGTAGGACACTTAGGGTGATTTCCTTTCTTCTCTGCTCTCCACTGAGCTCCCCATTTTTTACAGTATCAGTCTCTGCCAGATGATGAATTAGCTGTTTCATGAAGAGCCAAGTGCATTAGAGCATAGAATCATAGAACCATCAAGGTTGGAAGAGACCTCTGAGATCATTGAGTCCAACCATTAGCTTGTCACTGCTGCAACCCCTAAACCCTAAACCATATTTATAAAGCAGAGGGACTCTCTGCAACATTTTCACCTTTGGGAGCTGCTTCTGAAGCCACAATGCATCCACAGCTTTTGGTGGCAGCCGTGGCAGCAGCAGTAATACCAGCAGAGGCTGTGCTGGAAGGAATGAGCTGTCAGCTTGGTGTCCTTCATGGAGCTCTGGCACATGTCACAAGGAGGTTGTCTTGCCTGTCCTCACCTACCTAGTGCTATCAGCCTAGGGTTAGGAAAGCAGATTAGAAATGAATCAGCCCTTGAGACCCCCAGAGCTGGGTGCTGATCACACTGAAGTTGGGAAACTTGGCTATCACAGCTTCAAAACATGTGTATATCTTGCGTGCAGATGTGCTACAAAGGTTTGGCATCTGCCATTGGCAATCATTCACCGTGGCACTGGCTGTTCTCTGGGTGGCAATGGCTGTTTCCACCCCTCCTCCCCAGGGTTTGGTTTGTTCAATTGCCTTATTTATTGCTTTACAGAGGATGAAGCTTGTCCATCTGCCACAGACTCTGACCATACACCTGAAGCGATTCTGCTTTGAAAAACCGTCTGCCACACGTAAGCTGCGTCACTATCTGAAATTCCCACAGGACCTTGATTTCAATGCAGTCTTGACAGAAGATCAGTGCCAAGCAGATGACAATGAAAAGGTGAGATTCTCCTAGTGCCCAGTTTAAAAAGGGCAGATTTTCTCCTCTTTTATGCTCGAGCCTCATAAAAATTTCAGAGATCACACTAGTACTTGCCTCAGTTCAAAGCACCTCCTTAAAAATCTATGTCTCAGACTTTACCTGTGCCTGATGTTGTCTCACATCCCATGGTTTTAGCTGGTTCAGTCCTTAGTCAACATTCTGTGCTGTGATTGAATCACCAAAGGCACCATAACTGGAGCTTCCTGCCATAAGGACAAAAGCTAAGCTTTACAGATTCCACCTGTCCAAGACAGGGGAACTCCATTCCTGGTCTTTCCCATACAGTGCTGTTAGCCACAGAGTTGAGGTTAGCAAGGAAACAACAGATTTGCTAAGCAGCTGAGAGTGATCTGCCCCACTGTGGATCTGTTCCACAGTGCTGGGAAATAACAAAGGGAAGTGTGACAACAGCAAAAGTCACCAGTGCAATGTTGGCTGTAGGGTAACCCCTTGGCTGTCCTTTTTCACAATCCTGTAGTCTCCAGGCAGGCTGCCAGCCCACAGCTGGCAGGAAAACCTCTGTGGGTAAGAGTGCAAAAGGCAGGATCCTCAAGGTCAATCAAGCAGGTCTTTTTCCTTACAAAATGCACACTCTTGCTATCTTGGCTGCTGCATCTCTTCAGTGAATGGCAAGTGAGAATTGCTGCACTGAAAGTGACTCTTTGTGGCTCTTTGCAGGCTACCTGGCAGTATGGCCTTTTTGCTGTTGTTGCTCACTCAGGATCAAGTAGTTATGGACATTACTGTGCCTATATTCGAAGCCTCACCGAGTGTAAATGGTATTGTTTCAACGACTCTGAGGTTTGTCAGGTAAGGAGATAACCCACATTCCTTTGGTACCTTCCTGCACACTCCTCCAGGTCTCTTCAGTCTGACTGACTGCTAACTAAAGAGAACCAAGAAAGGAAACTGAAGCTGCAGAGCTTTGTGCACCTCTGCTACAGCATACTCTGAGCTGAGGGTAAAGCAGCTCTTGCTTCTGTACCAGGCAAGGCCTCAGGTTCTGCTTTGTGGCTTGCTGTATACAGCAGAGTGCTGTGCACCCTACTTTATGTACTCTACATCTGATTGATGTATATGTTCAGAAGAGGAACTGTTTTTCCTCAAAGGGTAAAAGCAATAAACCAATTTATGAAAGTGTTTAGCTTCTGGAAGTGACACACACACCACTCATGTGAGAACTTCTGTGCTGGTATCACAATGTGTCCATCTCTTAAGAGTTTTTATCAGCCTCCTCTTGCCTGTTTTTCTTCTCTAGGTGTCATGGGATGATGTTAAATGCACATATGGACATTCCAACCTCCACTGGTATGCAGACATATCTCTGGTCTTATCTAATGCTGCTCTGGATTTTGGAACGAGAGTAGAAAAGAGAGGGAAGAAAATGGTTTGAACTGCATATTGCCTGGGTTGTAGTGGGGGTGCTCTGATGAGACTGTCTAGGATTATACTGGGAGCCTACAGGGTTGCTGAGGAGTCACAAATGGGGCTGCAGGAGTGGTCTTGTTACTTTGCATTGCCACTTGGACCCTCCTGTCACCCAACTGAAGTAGCATACATCAGTCAGGATTTCTCCATGCTTTTTGTTTTGATGCATCACACGAAAATGAGCTTATAGGAGGGAGATAATCCCTCTTATAAGCTGCAGTGCTGCCTGGGAGTCAGCTTTATATGCTGTTTTGGGAACACTGGAGAGGACCAGCATAACTGACCTAAACCTCAAAAAGCTGAGCAGGAGCAAACCTGGGAGGTTATTTGCAGCCTAGATCTTTAAACATACACTGTGTTTTGCTTTTCCTTTGCCTCCACAGGCGAGAAACAGCCTATCTCTTGATTTACATGAAAAAACATCCTCAGTAGCCTCTCCAGGAGTATCAGAATCTTGGAAAGCTGTGCGTTGTCCATGGAGCTCAACACCTCTGTGCCAGTGTGGACACATACAGATTTTTCAGAAGAAAGACATTTGGCACTCAGCAACCTCTGTCTTCACAACTGTTTGTGGAAAAAAGTACAGCAGACACTCAGCTAGAGAAAGGATCTAAGGACTCTTGCAATTATAAACTCTTTTCTATTTTTAATATTTATGTGATCTATGTATTCATTTCTTCCTGAAGAGACTGTGAAGTTAGTCCTTGCCTCTGCTGACTTGCCAGTTTCCTTCATGCTGATGCTTAGATTCCAGTCCAGGGGGAGGGTTTGACCTGAAAGCCTATATGATGTTCCAGGGAGTAGTGTGGGATGAGTGGAGAGCTGTGACAGTTACACCTAGCCAGTAAGACCAGTAAGAGCTTGAGTCTGACTTAGCCCATTTAGCACTGTGTTAGATGTTGGCAAGCTGGGCAGGAGACTCCAAAAATCACCCCAGGAACAGGTGGAGAAAGGATCAGGACCCTTATGACACACACAGCAGTGATGGTGACTCCTTAAACCCTCCCTGAAAATGAAGCACTGCAGGGGTTAGGATGTGTTTGGAAGTGGGTGTCAGCATAAAGAGGTATTTTAAATCAGGAGCTCTTGTAGCAGTTTCTGATTTACAAGATGAGTTTGCAAATATTTGTGCACTGATTATTGTTTCAGCATTCATAGCAGGTGTTTATTTGCATTTTCTTTCCTGCAGGAAGAAAATATTCAGAATAACAGATTCTGAAACTAGTTAGTGATTTTGCACAATAACCATCTGTGATAAGAGAAGTGAGGTGTCTTGATATGCTTGAACTTTTGGGATTTTCTTTTAGTATTCACCTGGTTGCTGCTGGAATTGTCTTGCTCTCTCCTTTCCTTCTCTGCCCATGAAGTGGAAATGTCTCTCAAGCAGAAATTGTTTCGGAGAGAACAATTCCATAAAGAAAGTGAGTAACTTTGAAATCTCCTGTTTTGTCCTGTCGCTCTGTGCTGTTGGTTCAGCCTGTGCTCCCATGGCAAGACCACACAGATGGAGGGAAAATGTAGAGAGCCAGCAGGGAAGGTTGGTGACATGTGACAACGGGGAGAGTGTTCTGAAAGCTCACCACGTCTCCTCAGTTGTGAGGGAAGGTAAAAACTGGCTGTGATGCTTTTAAAGCACTCCTGGAGTTAAGTCTTCACATACCACAGTCTGAAGGGATTGAGGGTTCCAGCAGTTGACATCTGGAAGTTCCTTCTAGCCTAACATGTTCTCTGATTGTATCTTCACCAAGATGCTATTTCTGTGGGACTGAGCATGTTTTGAAGTGACTAATGTAGTTCTAATAGCAGCTGTATATAACCTCATTTTGTTTTGATGATGAAGTTCTCAAATCATACCTGGTTTGTGTTGGGGTGTGGGAGGTGAATTGAGAGATCTTGGAGCATAGCTGTGAAATGACACTTCCCTGGTGTGGCAGGTATTTATTTTGCTGTACTAGCAAGGTCTGTTATTCCGTTCAACTCTCTTGGATTGTACTGCTCAGTCTGTGTTAAAAAATGTCCTGGGGTACTGTTTGTTACCAGGATGAGGAATTTTCAGCCTATTCACCTCTGGGAATGTGTTGCACTCTTTCTAATCCACTTTGCAAGGAGTGAGTAAGAAAACCAAGTTCTTGTTTGCTTTATCCAGCACTTTGCCTATGTGAAGTAGCTGAACGTGGATGCACTTCCCAAAAGTGCGAAGTTAATGGGTTAAGAGACTGACAAGACATTTCTAATTAGATATAACTTGTAATTAAAAAACTAATGAAAACTGCCTCAAATGTGTCATAACCTTCCAGGGATGTAACTCATCGAGGAAGCAATTGCTGAGGTGTGTTAAGATTCTTTTCCTTTAGTGTCTCAGTGAAAAGTAGTCAATCTTTTTTGAATAAAATATTATGGGATATATTCCCTAGAAAATGAGTCTTGTGGATTATTCTTGGTGTGTTTTTCCTAAACACTGTTAATGCAGGGGGGAGGCTACAGGCTCCATGCACAGAGGTGTATGCTCAGATTAAGTGTTCAGGGTAGAGCTGCTCCAAGAGCCAAGGGAGAGCAGCTGAACCTGGACACTTCACCCTTGTGCTGGAGACACAGTGGGTTTGATTTTGGGTTTGCTGTCATGTGAAAGCTTATATTGCTTCCAGCTGGGCCACGGGAGGAGCAGGAGGGTGTGCAAACTGCATGGCAGTTTGAAAACTCCCATTAAAAAGCTCTGCTCACCCTGAGCTGCTATGCAAAGTCACCTTGGCTGCCTCTGTGTCCACAGCCACCCTCAGCTGTGCCCTGGATAAACTGCCCCAGGAGCTTATTTCACCTGAGGAGCTCAACTTTCAGCCAAGGGCTGGGATTCAGTGCTGGGAGACCAGTGGTTGTGTGGAGTCCTGGCCTCGGGGTTGGCTATGGAAAACACCTCCTGCATTTGAGACCTGTGTGCAAAATGGATCTATTTACTTTCTGGTGATGTGAAAACAGGAATACTGGGCAGTGGCTGAATAAACGGTACAATATTCAATGTATAGAAAGGACTGAAAGCACGTGAATAGTTCAATGTGTCTCTTCTTTAGCCAAGGGCTACAGACTTACAGGTATACAAAAAGCTGCAACCACAGCCAATGTGATGTGAGTAATTGCCTTGTTGAGCTCACTCAACAAACTCAGGTGAGGAGCCAACAATCTGTTTTTGAGTTCTTTGAGGGGTGAGATAAAGGCAAAAATCCCTGACTCCCCTTGCTTGTTACAGCACTTCTGCTCATGTTTTCCTTGCCCAGAGCCAGTCAGCAGGCAGGAGGGAGGGGCAAAGCCGACCTAAAAAGTTTTGCAAGAGGCCACAGCCTCTCGTTGCCTGCAGTGCTGAGAGGAGAACATCCATGGCCACCTACCTGGAGCTGCCCACCCGTGCGAGGATGCCCATCCTGGGACTGGGGACCTGGCAGGTACCTGCTGGAGCTGGGGACCTCTGCTCCTCCTCCTGCCTCTGGGCAGGCAGGTGACAGCAGGGAATGGCAGGGAATACTGGTAGACTTTTTCAGCAGTCTCCTCTTCAGGTCAGGAAATGCAGCAATCCTCTGTGCAGTGGTTCTTGTCTTTTGAAGCATTTCAGGTAACGCAGCTGTTTATGCCTGTCCTTCAGGAAATCTGTTAAGGGAGTGGTAGTGTAGAGCAGGCAGTGAGCAGGTAGAAGGAGATTTTTCCTACCTATTGGAAAAATTGCATACTACAAAAGTTAAAAGTTCTGCCCAGTTTGTTTTCTTTGTGCTTTTGGCACTGGGTATTACCATCCTAGCATGGCATGTAGGTGTCATATTTGATGAGTGCATGTAGGTGTAAGAACTTAAGTGGCAATGAGTGGATTTGGAAGTGGAGATTTACATTAACTCCTTGGAGACTGAGGATAACTTCTTTGCATGGCAGCAGGTGAGTGTGCAGCACTTTGTGGGAAAACAGTTTGGGTAGTTCTTTACCTGCAAATGTTACCTAATAGACTTCTGGTAAGAGATTAGGTTTAAGGATATACTGAATTATAAATGTATATAAATGTAAAAGAAATCTGGAAATGAACTGAAAATGTTAAGAAAGTGATCTTCTTAAGAATAAAACCAGTAGATTTTCCCCCAGGATTTGAGACTGGTAACAAAATATGTTGAATTACACCTTCAGCCTGGTCTGGTGGGAGGTGTCCCTGCCCATGACAGGGGATTGGGACTGGATGATCTGTATGGTCCATTCCAACCCCTAAAATTCTATGATTCTATGAACTTGCCAACTCCATGAAATTCTTTCCAGTCAGCATTAAAGTATCTCAAATTATCCTTGCAACATTTTTGGGTCAGCTGCTGCTAACCAGCACCTAACTTATGTGCACAAATGGGGTTGGGTTTGTTTAACCCTTTCAGTCTTGATTTCTCTGATGACAAAAGTCACTAAGAAGCCTAAAGTAACTAAAGTAGGCTTTAAAAATCAAAGTTTGCCTTACATGGGGCTTCTTAGGGCACCAGCACTGCTGGATGAGCTTTCTGAAGGAAGGTGTTAATTTGCTAGTAGAAACTAGGACTAAATAGAAGGGAAATTCTGGGCACATGATCCCTGCCACCACAAAAAGTCTCTCGTGTTAGTGCAATGAACACATGGCCCAAACCCACAGCGATTACTTCATCAAACCTATTTGATTTCATGGTTCCCACAGCTACTTCAGTGTTTTGGTGTGGTACTGGGGCTCTCCTTCACCTCCTTGCTCTGACCTGAAGCCTTGTTCAGTGAGCACCATGTGAAATGAAACAACAGATTAGTTTTCCTGAAAAACATCTCACGTTGCAGAGTTTTATGTAATCACAGAGTATGTTATTGCCTTTGCTCTCCACCAGCTCCTCCACTCCAGAGCGATGCCAATCGCTCCAGTGTGGCACTTCTCCCAAGCTTATCCAGAGATAAGGCTCTGCAGAATGTTCAGCATGTGGCCACCACGGCCCTGCTTCCCCCTGCCACCCTGGGAGGGGTGGGATGGGCAAAGGCACTGGAAAAAGGAAAACTTGTCAAGATTTACAGTGCCTGTTTGGCTGTG